AAATGCACCCATCTGAGGGCTTGACTTGCCCGTGTGCCTCCAGTATACGGTCTCTGCAGGAGACTGAGCATTTGCCTGCTAAATGCTCATGCTTTCAACTGTGGAATGTGGCCCCAAAGCCCCACAATATATAGTAATTTGTAACTTTGCTGAGGTACAAATTTGTATTCCAAATGCTCCAAGGCTAACTTCTAAATGTGATTTACTTAGCTAGTGAAAGTGCTTTGTTCTCTGCCCAGTTTCTACATTACAATGTGCATTTAGGGTTTCTTTAACTAAATTTGATTACCCAGCAGCTCTCATGAAACAAATAGAGATTTTTCTTTTTAAATAAAGGGCCTTGGGAAGCAAGGGAGGAAGTTGACTTCTAATGTTAAAGATCAAAATGAAGAGAAAGTGGAAAGGTCTACTAAATATTTAACTAGGAAATAGATTTTGGGACATTGAGATAGAATCCCGTAAGGGTAACAATGGGAGTTTTGAGTGTAAACAATCAGCATTTTTCAGACCATAGTAGCAAGAATTAAGGAAAATGTTAAATGAAGAAATCACCTGAAATTCCAGTCATGCTTTACTTCATTTTAAGAAGACATTTGTGGGCTATGGAGTATTTTTGAATTACTAATTTTTAATTTAAAATATTAATTGATAAGTGATGAGAGATCACCCTTATAAATGCCAAGAAACTGTGACAAAAAACCCATAATTTATTTATAAAAAATTGTATATTTATTCCTACATGTTGAAACTTCAGTCACCTTTAAAAAACCCTCCTTTTGACGTGATATAGCTATCAAGACTTTTTTCCCACTTCTCAAAACGGTTTTTGAACTCATCAATTTTGATGCCTTTTAGTGCTTCTGCCACTTTCACCTCTTCTATGGCAAAACATTTTCCTCTGAGGACTTTTTTCATCCGGGAGGAAAAAAAAAGTTGCCCAGGGTGAGATTAGGTGAATGGGAGGGGGGTGGGGAATGCGGTCATGCCATTTTTGGTCAAAAACTGCTGAACACTCAGTGTGGTGTAGGCAAGTGCACTCTTAAATGACTCATCATGAAACGGGCACACATGTTGAGTCTGAAAAAAAAAAAAAATTCATTGCAACTGAACCCAGCCTCTCACAACAATGCCAGCTATAACACTGATACTGGTGGGTTCCTAGAACACTTACCTAGTGAGGGAAATCTGTACTACAAGGGGCCCGCCCTCCAAAAAACAAATCTGTTTTTTTGGGGAGTTCCCCCAGTATGTAATCTAATTTATTTTTAATATTTAAAGCCTTCAAATAGATTGCTGAGAGCAGCAACTGTCTTCTCTTCTTTTGCTATTTACTTTCATGTTTCTAGTACAATGCTCTGCTCATAGGCAGTTCTTAATAAATTCAATGCTTTGAATTATTATTATTATTATTATTATTATTTTGAGTTGGAGTGTCACTCATTTACCCAGATTGGAGTGCAGTAGCTGCTCCCAGCCACCGCAGCCTCGACCTGCTGGGCTCCGGCGATCCTTCCGCCTCAGCCTTCCATGTAGCTGGAACTACAGGCGCGTGCTACCACGCCTGGCTAATTTTTGATTTATTGTAGAGATGAGGTCTCACCAAGTTGCCCAGGCAAGTCTTGAACCCATGGGCTCAAGCAATCCACTCATCTCGGCCTCCCAAAGTGCTGGGATTACAGGCTGAGCCACCGAGCCTGGCCGCTTTGAATTATTTAAATGTGTTTTCCAGTTTTAAACTTTTATGGCTTAAATATATATTTCTTTCTATCAACTCTAGAAATTATGTGTGTGCCTTAGGTAGTGACGGGTGGGCATGCTTTAGACTTAGAGGAATATAAAACATACTCTGTTTTTAGGACTCAAACTCTGCAGGCTGCAAGCCATGATTTGACATTCTTTTCTCTTTACATATTTTTATCTTCTTTAAATATTTGGTTAGGAATCCTGTGACAGGAGGTTTCTAGGGTTTTTAGTATTTCCTGGGCTAGAAATAATCTAGAATAAAAACAATCTTTGTGTTTCCCTTTGAATCCACATCAAAAGTTTTTGGATGAGAAAGCCAGATGCACCTTTAAAGTATAGTATTGGACTCATCATATAGAGTTTGATTTTAACTGTAAGAATTCGTTTAAATGTTTCTTCAAAGTGAGAGTGTAAGGAGCAGGGCAGTTCTTTCAAGCCTAAGGCCTAAGGGCCTATACCGGGGGGGATCCCAAAAATACCGGAATTAGCTGGGCTCGGTGGCTCAGCCTGTAATCCCGTGCTCAAAAAAAAAAAAAAAAAAAAAAACGCAATTATTTTTTAGAGGGCAGTCCCCTTGAAGTACAGTCTTTCCCTGCTATGTAAGTGTTTTAAGAACACATCGGCATTAGTGTACCAGTTAGTGTGAGAAGTTGTGTTTGACATCAGTAAATTTTTTTGTTTTGGGAGACTCCTTCTCTGCATTTGCCTATTTCATGATGCTTTACATGAATAACCTGCCCACACCGCACTGAATGTTCAGCAGTTTTAGATCACAGATGGCATGACCCCTGTGCCCCATCCCCCCTGTTCACTCGATATCACCCTGAGTGATTTTATGTTTGTTTGTTTCCCCAGGGAAAAAAAAATTCCTCGAAGGGGAACGTTTTGCTGAAGTGGAAAAGGTGAAACAAAAAAATAGCAGAAGCACTAACAATTATCAAAATTGATGAATTCAAAAACTGTGTTGAGCAATGGAAAAGCATCTTGATAGGGGTATGGCATCAAAGAGTACTTTGAAGGCTGAAGTTTAAACATGTACGAATAAATACACACATTTTTATAAATAAATTATGGGTTGGCGGGGGCCTCATGTCTCTCATCCTGAAACCAATTGCTCCATTTCTCTTTGTCCCTTTGAACTACCTTGTTGTCTTCCAGCGTCTTGGGGAACATCAAGCGGAGGAGCTCTAGGACAAGAGCTTGAGTTCAGTTGTCTGGGCCTCCTTCTAGCAGAGCACAATGTGAGACAGAGGAACCAGGAGCCCAGGTAGCACAGGGCTTGTGAAAATAACTTGATAGATGAGAAATGAAATTTCATTCCTAATTGTCCTAGATTCCTCTTTCTTATTAATCCTTTTTTAAAAAAAATAAAGTTTTTTGTTGCAAACATTATGCTTCTCAAGTAGAAGTTCTTCTGAAAAATTTGAAAAAAGAGGGATTTGAAGAAGCTGGCTATTTCCTAGCCTTGTTAGAAGACACTGTACCTAACTGACTGTTGAAATTTGGTGTAAATATATACTGTGAAGAAACATTTATCTCAGAATTGATCAATAAAAGAGGCAGTGTATACAAATGTCATTTAATTTTTTTAAAATTGGATTTGCATTCAAAATGGGGAAATTTTCTAACATCAGTTTTCTAAGACATTACTCAGTGTTTTTTTTTTTTCCTGTTTTTTTTGAGTTGCTATGTCATCTTTGAATAACATTAAAAATTGAAGTATATTTCTTCTGTTTTTGCTGTTGTTTGCTCCATGAGATAATGTGTTTGCTATTCTTTTTTTTTTTTTTGAGTTGGAGTCTCACTCTGTCGCCCAGATTGGAGTGTAGTGGCTGCTCCCGGCCACTGCAGCCTCGCCCTGCTGGGCTCCGGCGATCCTTCCGCCTCAGCCTTCCAAGTAGCTGGAACTACAGGCGCGTGCTACCACGCCCGGCTCATTTTTGATTTATTGTAGAAATGAGGTCTTGCCAAGTTGCCCAGGCGGGTCTCAAACCCGCGGGCTCAGGCAATCCACTCACCTCAGCCTCCCAAAGGTGCGGGATTACAGGCTGAGCCACCGAACCTGGTTTGTGTTTACTATGGCTTGTGTTTACTATTCTATCGGGGGATAGTTATTCATTCGGTTACTCAACAAACATTTTCACAGTACCAATTATTTGCAAATCATATTCACATACATATCTCAAAGAAAATATGGACCACATGTATACACAAATGTTAACTTTAAAATGTTCAGAAATTATGCAAGAATATACTCTTCTGAGATTACTTTGGCAAGTTACAATGATGTATTGTCAAAGAGCTTTGTCCTTGGTGAAATCATTGAAATATCATTTGCTTTGGTCTATGTTATTCTCTGAAGTTTGAACTCAACCCTGTCTAAAACTAGATCACAATTCCTTTTTTTTTTTTTTTAATGCAAAACCTCTTTTTTATTTTCATTGAATTTTATTTTCTGCCTGGCACAACTTTTTCTTTGTAAGAAATCTTATAAAACTACATTTGATGTTTGGATTTATAAAAAATAGTGGGAGTGTCCAAGCCTGGAGCAAAATATTCTGTGTTTTGTCTTCTTATTACTTGATTTCACAACTTTCTCCTGTCTTAAAAGACTTTATAATCTTTCTTCACAATCTATAATAAGACTTTATAAATTTATAAAATTAGTGACTTAAAGTATTCTAATTTTAATCTTTCAAAGCAATTTTATGATGTCTTCAGATAATTGAATTTTCTATGGAATATAACACTAAATATAAAAATGTTAAATTTGCTGCATTTAATAAGTTGAATTTCAGTTACTTTGAATATTGACTTTTTCTTTTAAATATATGCAGAATCACTGTTGCTTGTGCTTTAGAATTTAAATAATTGCATTCTTTAATCTGAAAAACTAAATACAGTCTTTGAAATATCTGCTATAAGCCGGGCTCGGTGGCTCAGCCTATAATCCTGTGCCTTTGGGAGGCTGAGGTGAGTGGATTGCCTGAGCCTGCGGGTTCGAGACCCGCCTGGGCGGCGAGACCTTATCTCTACAATAAATAAAAAAATCAGCCAGGCATGGTAGCACATGCCTGTAATTCCAGCTACATGGAAGGCTGAGGCGGAAGGATCGCCGGAGCCCAGCAGGTCGAGGCTGCGGTGGCCGGGAGCGGCCACTGCACTCCAGTCTGGGCGACAGAGTGAGACTCCAACTCAAAAAAAAAAAAAAAAAATCTGCTACAAAATTATTTGTTTTCAATTTTTTTTGTTATTAGGTGATTTGGGTCCTTGGGATCTGCTCATCTGCCTGTCTTCTAAGAAAGCTGATGGAAAACCCTGCGTATCCATGGAAGACATGTGCCAGTTAGGCTTACATCAAAAGGTAAGTACTCTGTACGTGAGCTCAGATTATCAACCCGATAGATATCAACACTGGTATTTCTTGGTCCATAATGTTTTTAAAAATCCTTTAAAAATTTGAGTTGTTAAATCTTGGAAGAAACTTCCAACTGGTCGTGTTTTATACACTTTATCATAAAATGGCTACTGGTTTTTGCTTAATATGATCTCCCTCAGCTTCAGTTGCTGCTGATACTCTTGTTATCTAGAAGTCTATATCCTATGAAGTGTTGCTTACGCTAGGCACTTGTTCGTCCTTTACTTTTTAGAACACCAGTCTTACTTTATCTAATATAAATTATTTTTAATTACAATAACATTGATGCAATTTTTATTAGCTCTTAAAATTGATTCACTATTTGCTGTCTGTACTGTGTGAACTTTTGTAAATGCTTTTAGAAAAGTTAACTGAAAGCTATCCAAAGTCTACCACGTGTTAATCACTGTGCTGCACAATTTACATACTATTGATACTTATAGTAAATCTGTGAGAAAAGTACCAAAACCATAGCTTTTTTTAAAGTTCATAACTGGAGTAGCATATCCTGTAGTATTTGTGCAATTGATTGTCTAGACAACTCTTTCCTGCTTCTAACTCTTTACTTCCTTGGCATTTGGGCAGAGCACGCTCTTGTGTCTCATTGTGCATCTCTGACCTTTCCTCCTTTGTTTGCTCCATAGCCAACTTTCCCCTGCCCATTGCCTGAATGCCTGTGTTCCCTAATACGAATCCCAACAAAAATTTGTAGTTGATAATTCCCAAATCTACATCTAACGTTTAGAGCACTTTCTCAGTCTTCTAACATGCGTATGCAACAGCCCTCCAAACAGCCTACTTGGATGTCCCACAGACATCTCAAACTCAATCTGGCAAAAACGGACTCATTTTTCTCCCTAGTAAATTCGCTTCTGCTCCTGGGCTTCTGTTCTATTGATTCTGGCATCTCCTATGGTAGAAATCTGACTTTTACCATTCAGCCCTTTATCTTCCTTGTCACCTACATTCTATTAATTGCCAATACCGAAGTATTTTATCCCTTAAATTCTTCAATCTATTATCTACTCTCTGTACTTACTACCTTTATTCTGGCCGGGTAATGTTCATCTCGAACTTGGATTATTATTCCCAAATCCCTCTCACTGTTTTTTTTTCTGCAGCAAAATCCATCCTGCCCTCAGTTATGAGTTGAAAAACATAAGACGGTCAACTAATATTGCTACTTCTATGTTTAAAATCTTGAGCGGCTTCCCATCAACTTTAGGATAATGTTATTTGCTTTGTATTAGCCTTTCAACAGGAAACAAATGCCATACTTAAAGAGATGTAACTGAAGAGAAATTTATAAAGGAACTATTTACAGAGGTTTGGGCAGGGTAAAATGAACAAAAAGCCCTAGTGAGACACCCCAGGGACTGGCAACATAAAGTTTTACTACTCTGGGTCTTAAGAAGGATCTATAGAAGTAATGGTGGTGTAGCCAGAACTTAAAAGAGGGGGGCCAAGAAAGTTACTGGAAAGAAGTTATAACCTGAAGTGAGTGTAGCCTTCACCAAATCATAGGCCTGCAGAGAAGGAACCCCAACTCTCTCTACTCCCTGCAGTCTCTTGCCAATGCCTACCATTGGTCAAGCTAAGTACTAGTCAAAGGGCAAGAGAATCTCCATGATGCCACCCATAAAAGTCAGTCTCCTGGGGAACAGTGAAGGGGGAAAAATGGTAAATATTTTCTGTAGCGTCAAATGGTAAATATTTAGCACAATAAGTTCGTCAAGGTTCTCTGTGAATGGCTCCTGACTAACAGTGCCTGCCCATCTCATCTCTCTTTCTAGCTGGTGCCATGCTATAAGTGATATAAAACTGCTTATTGTTCCCTAAATACCTACACTTTATTCTGTCATGTACCTTTACTGAAAGGAATTTCCTTTCTTAGTGATTTTCAATCACTCTTCCAGTGATTTTTCAATCAGTGAGAGTGTCTGTCTTCTCCAGTAATGCTTGCTATGTCTAGAGATGTTTTTGGTTCTGTCACATCTAGGGGGAGAGGTTGGTAATGACATCTATAGGTCAAAGACAAAAATACTGCTAAGTATTGTATAATGTCTTCAACAAAGAATTATGTAACCCAGTATTTAACAGTGGTTGAGAAACCCTGATGAACTCTCTTAACTTAAAATCAGCTTCTTGGGTCTGTTAGACTCAGCACCACTATCACCTACTGCAAGCAGGGTTTACTTGCCTTTTACTCCTTAGATACTCCCACAAGTACTCATGCATATCTCTAATGTAGGAGTTATCACAGTGTTTAGCCTTTTCCTTGTCATCTGTAAATGCAAGGCAGCCTTCATCAGCTAACAAAGACAGATGAGGTCATGCTGGGATTAGTATTGACATTTTGGGGGGCAATGTGGGTCCTCCTAAACTTTCCCATCTATCTCCCCAGCAGGTATCTCTCATACACTTAGAAATAGTATTTTCCAAGTGCTGCTCCAGTCTCCTGTTTCAGCCCATTATACCAAAAGCATTGGGGAGCCTTTGCTCTACTGTGGCTGCCATTGGTACTCCTGTGATAGTTTTGTTTCCTGCCCTGGGGTGCCACCCAGAGTAGCAAAATACTTGAGGTACCCAAAGTCTTTGCATTCCATCGGTTCTGTCTGAACTGAAACAAATTTCATTTGGCATAGAACAGGGAGAACAGTCTTCTGTCTATTTCGGTTTATCTCTTTGCTTCCTAGGTCTCAGAACATGGTTTACAACCTGGGCAGTGGCACAAAGTCACGCATGGAAACTCTTCTTGTGACTCTCATATTATTTTCTCCCTAGAGCTTTTGTGGTAAACTCTTGCACCACCTCTCACAAGGTGAAGGATTTGGGGCCCATTATTTAATTTCTGTAGCCTTCAGTATCTTGTAAAAAAGAACTTCAGTACCTGAAAAAAGAAGTCATTAGACACTGAACACTTGCTAGCTTTACATTTGCATGAGAGTCACCAGAGACTAGTGGAATATATGATGAGAAGAGAACAGAGCAGATTGGCTGGTGATGGCCATGGAGGAGGTGAGAAAGGGGTGTGAGTGACATAAGTAGAAACAGAAAGTATAAAGTGCAATGTCAGTAATGCTGGGAATCTCCTATTTAATGTTTTATTTTGACGTAGTGTTTGATTTACAGAAAAGTTGCAAAAACGGTACAGAGTTTTCCCATATACCCTTCACTGAGCTTACTCCAGTGTCAACATCTGACATAACCATGGTGCATTTCTCAAACTAAGAAATTAATATTGATACAAACCATTCACTCGATTATAAACATTACCCAAATTTCATCTTTTTAAATACCTACACCCCTTTCCTGTTTTAGGATCTTATCTAGCACTCCTCATGATATTGAGTTTTTATGTCTCCTTAGTCTCCTTCTATCTCGCATGTTAATTTTTCTTTTTCTTTCATGATCTTGACATTTTTGAAGAGTACTATTCAGGTATTTTGTAGAATGTTTCTTAGTTTGTATTTGCCTTATTCTTTTTTTGTAAGATTATGCATTTGGGGGAAGAATACCACAATAGTATCGTGTCCTCTGTGTAAAATATCAGGGGGTGGATGGTGTCCATATGTCTTGCTACTGGTGATGTTAACATTGATTACCTGGCTAAGAATTACCAATTGGAATTCTTCTGTAAAAAAGAGCTATTCTTTATCCTGAATTTAATTATTTATTCAATAATTTATTTGCAACAGTTCAGACTGAGATTTATTATATTCTATGGGTTATAATCCAGTACTATCATTATTAATTTTTTTCTCAGATTGTTCCAACTTTGGTTATTGAGACTTCTTTAATACTGGTTTCTGTGCCCTTTTGGGGCACACATATCCTTTTCCTGAGCGCTTGATAGCACCACAGGATACTTCAAATTCACCTTGTATTTTCCCTGTTCCAGGGTGAAATCAATGACTTCTTAGAAAAACCATCATTCCCTTTCTTTGAAGAATGATATTTAAAAACCAAGATCTGAGAAATAGATATGCTCATTATTAAGAATGTGTCATTGCATCCAGGCCGTCTCAGCAGACAGAGCTTTGAAATGTCTGTAATATACTAACATGCATATATTAAGCTGATTCTTACCATACCTCTGAATGTCATCTAACAGCACAAGGTTATAATAACCTTTCCCCATCCTTATTTGTAACTTCTTTCTCAGTCAGGGAGAAAAGTGGATCTCATTTACATTCTATTTCCTTATTTGTTTAACCCCAGCACGCCCATACATTAGTTTCAGAATTGTTAATCCATACCCTTGTGAGAAACAAATTTAAAAATTTACTAATAAGAGTACAGTATTTGTCTCTGGTCTTTTTGTCTTTCTGCCTTATAATATTCAGTCAAAGTATTATTTTCCGTAGTTAGGTCAATTCTTTCCTCCCCACTCTCTTCACTATGACTATGTCACTCATTAGTAATACATTTAGAATCATTTGTTACAGTTTATATTTTATTTGGGTCCCCCACTTCACTACAAATCTGGTTTGAGTTTTATTTTAATTTGCAAATGGTAAAATTCATTCTTTATGGTTTATAGTTCTGTAAGTTTTGACATATGCATAGAGTCATGTATTCATCCCCACAATCATGACATAGAACAGTCTTGTTATCCCCCAAAATTGTTTGTGTTGCACCTTTGAAGTCATCTTCTCCAGTAATCCCTGCCCTTAGCAACCACTGACTTATTTTCTGTACCCACAGGTTTGTCTTCTCCAGAAGGCCACATAAGTGGATTATATAGTTTGCAGCATTTGGGGTCTTCCACTTTAGCAGACTCATTTAAGATTCATCTATGCTGTATGAATCTGTAGTTTATCGCTTTTTATTGAGGAATACTATTCCGCTTCATGGATGTGCCTCAGTTTGTTTATTCATTCACAAGTTAAATTACATCTGGACTGGTTTCAGTTTATGGCCATAATGAATAACAATTACCATAA